GGCATACTCCCCGTGGCATATTTGATACGCCAAAAACAGTAACAACAGGTCTCAATAGAAACGTTACTGGTGCCCACTCGAGGAAATCAATGAGCAATGGGAGGGCAGAGCTACAGTTCTTCTGTGCGGGCACTTTTTGGCTAAACATGGATTATTGGAGCACCTCTGAGCTCACTTTTTATAGTGTTACCTCTGCCACTTTTGTGTGCTGCTGCCAGAATAGTCTTTTTTAAAAATATGTTCTACCATGATGTCAGCCTTCATTAACTCCTTCAGTGCTTTGTGCCACAGGAGTCATTAGTTCAAACATAACCATCAGTGGCCATAGGCAGAATTGCCAGTAGATGAAGTTTTATGTCTGGTTTTAGGATGCAAATATCAGGGCCTAAACAGCAGAATTGTCAGTTCGTTGCCTGGGTAAGCTTGTCTTTATTTTTTTAAGTGCCAAATAAAACTGCATATGTGGTGGGCAGAAGCAGAGTGTATGGGAAATTTTTGTGCCTTCTTGGTTTTGTTATGAACTTAAAACTGCTCTAAAAGTGGTTTTTACTTGGAAAACAAAACCTGAGTCAGTTGGTTAACTGACATTTACCCCATTTGAAAACTACTGACTTAGGGATTGGGACTGTGGCTCGGCAGTAGTGTACATGCTTTGAATGTGTAAGTCCCTTGATTGATCCTTCACAGTATTAAAAACAAGAAGAAGAGCAAGGAGAAGGAGTAAAAAAGGAGGGAGGGAGAAAGGAAGGATAATTGCCATGCCAGCAAGTCATGATCCTTGTTCTCAGGTAGTTCGGTCAGTGGCAAAACAAGTCAGCAAACTTCCACATAATGTGGCTAATGCTCTCATGGAGTTACAGCTCAGTCTTGGGGAAAGTGTTTACTTATCGGGATAGAGGGATATGAAAAGATCTCACAGGGCACAGAGGAGATAGAATTTGAGAACAGATATTTGAAGATAAACAGGAGATTTTAAGTGGATTTTTAATACAAACAGGGTAGGATGAACTGGTGGCGAAAGTTATCAGAGAGAAAAGGACAGTAGCAATATAAGCACTTTTGTGCGTCTAAAACTACTGTGAAAATTTTGAAGTGATAGGAATGAGACAGAAGGAAACCTTACTTGGGGTCGGCCTTGTATGTCTTTAAGGCTCAGACCTTAATAAGTCGAGGTCCGTAATGAGTTGGAGGTCTTCATAAGTCTATCCCACCAGTGTATCCAACTAACTGTATAGGAGGCTGAGCACTCCTAGAATGCCCTTTCCCTCCAAAGTTCTAGCCATCTGTGAAAGTAACACATGGTTGCTCATCTTCTTCATTTCTCCTTTGCCTTAACTTATAGTACATATTTTCTTCACAGTTAATATAAAACAGATGATGGCATTTAGTACTGGTTTTCATCTTTCGGTATGCATATATCTGTTTTCCTTTCTACATTCTAGTGTTTCTTAGTAGGAACTCTGTTTTTTTTTTCTTTTTTTTTGCAGAGAACAATTTTTTGTTGTGTGGGACTTTTCTCTGCATTGCCAAAAGGTTAGCATTTCTGGCGCCTGCCCACTAAATGCCCAAAGTACTCCCCAGTTTAGGACCATCAGAATTGTCCAAACATTTCCATATGACTACCAATCAAGTTGGAACCATTCTCTCGAAGACTGCTTTATTAAGTGATCAAATATTTATCAATAATTTGAAACAAAGAGTACTTTTAAATTTAGATCTTCAACTATGACATCAGTTTCTTAATTGTGTACCCAACTCAAAACCACATATCCAGCCTGTTTTCTATTAAAATGTAATAGTCATACTAATTTTAAAAAGTTAAACATATAACTGGAACTTTTTAAAGTATTTTAATAATGATGTGACCCATAAAATTGTTTTTCTCTCAGTTCTAAAAATTTTAATTCATGCTAAGTGACTACAGATCCTTATTCACTTTCTAAAAAAATTCTCATGTTAATTATTCTAGTAAAATTGATGGATGAATCATTTTAATGAGCACTAGTTGTTAACTTATTTTTTAAATTTATTTAAAATTTTAAAAATATTTTTTAAAGTCTTGAAACTTCAGAGTGGTTTGTGATATAAAAAGATTGTATTGAGTGAATATCCCTAAGTGGGAAAGATTTCAGATATAATAAATCATTGGGACCCATTTTATACCTTCTGTATTGTACCTTCTCTGTTACCAGCTCAATCTTTGCAAGCATAGGATGCTTGCTCCGTGTAGTAAATACCAAAAGGAGGAGCTGGAGGTGATAGTACCATGTGTAGGGCACTTGTCTTGCATGCAGCTGACCCAGATTCAATTCACCCTTATACCATATGGTCCTGTGAGCTCCACCAGAAGTAGTCCCTAAGCACAGAGCCAGGAGTAAGCCCTGCGCACAGCTGGGTGTGCCCCCCCAACCCCCAAACAAAAATAACGAAAGGAGTGCTTTTCTTTTAGCATTACTGACCAGAAACCGTGAAATCTACTATGATTGAACCATCTGGGTCCTCTGCTTAAACTTTTGATATATAGTGTCCAGGAAAATAGAGGATATTGATCTTACCCCTTTACTTCCTTTTGTTTGTGCTGCAGGACATCAGTTTCATACCTACTGTACACATACACATCTGGCTGTAGGTGTTGTATGCGCATGCTTACTTATTGCTCTGAGGATCAGTTTTCCTTGGAATTATAACCTAAAGCTCCAGGGGTGGAAGCCAGCTGTTTGTCTGTTTGTTTGTTTGTTTATCATGTTTGGACCATACGTGGATTGTTCAGGAGTGAGTCATGGTTCAGCATTTGAGTTGTGCCTGTCAGAGCTCAGGGGATCATGTGATGCTGGGGATTGTACCTGTACTCCTGCGTGCAAAACATGTACTTCAGCTTATTGAACTCTTCTCTCCAGCCTTGAAAAAATAAAAATTCTTGAAAACTTTAATTTGATGAATATGAAACTTTCCTAGCCACCCCTTAATATGTGTCTTCATCTGCATTCTTACTTTCTTAAAACTGGGATAGAATGATTCTTAACAGTTTCTAGAAAGAGTTGTACATGGATTTTCAATATTGACCCAATAAAGGAAAGTATGAAAGAGTTTGTTTTGTCACTTTACGCATATACCAGCAGTGTTAAACATTTTATTATTGCCTCTCAGAGAGCCTTTTTAGATATTTTCCCTTGTATTCCACTACTGCATATTTTATAAAAACCTTCTGTATTGTACCTTCTGTGTATATTATATATTATACATACATAATCTATATATTTTTTATGTAAGGCCACATTGTATCTAAGATTTTTAATCTGACAGCCAATTTTCATACTTTGGGATGTATCTTTCTGTAATACTACTCCCCAGTATATTTCATTTAAGTATATTTCATTTCATTTTAGCTCATAACCAATTTTTGCCCTTTGAATGATATTACCCATGCCCACCCAACCCCAGCTGAAGTTGGTATGTGTGCTATTGTGTAATGAGAACAAGCCTTGCATGAATTATTACTTGAGTGTCATAAAACTTATGGAAGAGATCAGTGTTTCTGATATTTTGTCAGATTGTTCTGAAGGAACATTAAGATTAATTTTTGCTACCATTACTTCATTATCAGATGCTGAATATAGTGCCTTGTGGTACATATTTAACCTTTACATTCATAAAGATACTTATAACTTTAGCGATATTAAATTTAACATGATTGTTTCTTGTATGATAAATAGTACTTTCAACATAAGCATAATAATGCATATTTTTCCTGGCCTGAAATAGTTTTGTTAATAAAGTTTCCATATGCATATCTGTGATAAATCACTTAATAGAAGGGTTTTTTACTTGATTTTTATGTTCATTGACTTCTGACAAAATTGATTTAAGTCATCATATATCTGGTGGAATAGCTCGACTGGATTTTACTTAAAATATTATTTTAGATTTTGAACCATGTTTCTAAGGGGTAAATTCTCTTCCCCCACTCCAGCTCCTATATCTGTAATGGAATTAATGTAATTATTATTTAATGTAAATTTTATTTTTAAAAAATTTAAATTTTAAATAGAATTGTATTTAGTCTCACCAAATTTACCTATTAAATGGAAAACTGGGTCTTTTTTTCTTTAATTATTACTGTTGATTTTTTATCAGACCAAAAATTTAAACCTGAAAGCAAATGGACTCTAGCTCAGAGTGCATTCTGCTCTTAGCAACCAACTTGTTGTCTACTGTTTTTGCTACTGAATGCATGCACTCATGGCTCAGAAGTGCATCTCCAGCCAGCTGCTCTCCCAGGACAATACTTCATTCACCTAGTTTCCAGACTTGTCCAGCAAAGACATCAGCTCATTGTTTTGAGTCCTGCAGAAATTTATTTGTAAACTTCAAATAGTAGCATGCAGGTCTTAAAAACCCCTGAACTCTGAGAAATTGCCATCCAATTCAGGAATCAGAGTCCTTATATTTCAGAAGTGCTTCAGTTAAATGTTTTCTCTCAAAAACTTTTGTGTGGGGGGGGCTGGAGTGATAGCACAGCGGGTAGGGCATTTGCCTTGCACAGGGCCGACCCGGGTTCTATTCCCAGCATCCCATTTGTTCCCCTGAGCACCACCAGGGGTAATTCCTGAGTGCAGAGCCAGGAATTACCCCTGAGCATCTCCAGTATGACCCAAAAATTTAAAAAAATAAATAAAAACATTTGTGTATTATTTATTTTTTTAAACAGTTTCTATGATTCTAGAAAATAGTACTTAGCAGAAAAACAAAAATTAAGTTCTTAGAATATTTTTGGAATTATAGAATAAAAGCTTTAGAAGTATAGGGCCGCAGAGAAAGTACAGATGGTAGGGCATTTGCCTTGCATGTCCTGCCATGACCCAGGTTCAGTCTCTGCTACCACATATAAAGCCCTGAATATCACTGGGTATGCCCCCTCCCCAAAAAAAATATTTTTAAGATGTTTGATTTATTTTTTAGTCAAGATTTATTTATCTTTTTCTTCACATGATTTTTTTCAGAAAACAACAATTTTGTTGGCATTTGAAACTTCAGTTTCCGCAAAGTCAAGCTGTATACATAGAAAAAAGGTATGTGTTATCACCACTGGTTTCAGAAACTGATGTCTTCCATTTGTATTTAAAATTAATGGTTAGCTCAGAATGATACTAATAAATGTCAGTGGTAAAATTGATTACTTATAGCACAGAGGTAGGGCGTTTGCCTTGTGCACAGCCAGCCCAGCCAAGCCGAGTTCGATTCCTCTGCCCTCTCAGAGAGCCCCGCAAGCCTGCACAGCAAAGCCTGGCAAGCTACCCATGATGTATTCAATATGCCAAACACAGTAACAAGTCTCAAAATGGAGACTTTACTGGGCCCACTCCAAATCTGTGAACAACAGGAGGACAGTGCTACAGTGATACAGTTGCAGAATATTCATTCAGTAAAATAAGTGAACTGTATTGCTCCTTACATAAATATTGGGCTGGAGCGATAGCAGTGGGTAAGGCATTTGCCTTGCACGCGGCCAACATGGCCAACCCAGGTTCGATTCCTCCATCCCACTTGGAGAGCCCTGATGTATTGGTATGCCAAAAACAGTAACAATAAGTCCATAATTTGTTGTCAGACTTGTTACTGGTGCCCGCTCAAGCAAATCGATGGACAACGGGAGAACAGTGCTTTCTCTCTCTCTCTTTCTCTCTCTCTCTCTCTCTCTATATATATATATATATATACATATATATGTGTATATATATATATATATATATATATAAAATTTTGCTTTTTGGGTGACACCCAGCGATGCTCAGGAGTTTACTCCTGACTCTTCATTCAGGGGTTACGCTTGGCTGTGCACTCAGGAATTACCCCTGGCAGTGCTCGGGGGACCATTTGGGATGCCAGGGACCAAACCCAGGTCAACCATGTACAAGGCAAACTCCCTACCCACTGTACTATTCCTCTTATCCAGCCTCTTGTCTTCTTATGCTGTCATCTGAAAGTGCTCCTCATGGTCTGAATGACCGGCTTTACAGATGACTCAGCTTCCTGGGGGTACAGAGCTGGAGGACAAGGGCAGAGAATGGGTCTTCTGTGTGTTTTATATATTCATAAATATTTCTCTTTGGAAATGTATTGATTTTATTATAGAATTTCCTTTATATGAAGGCATGTAATAGAATTAAGGGGGGGAAGACTTTAGACATTTTACATCTACAATTATGTGACACAATTGTATATGTGAGCACACACCTTGATGTGCTTGAAGGAAACAGGAATTTCGTGGTGTCGGAAATTTTCTACAGCTTTAGAGTTTGAAAAAAACTGTACTTAAAGGAACATTGGAATACTTGACTGTACTTAAAAGAACTTTGGCATACTTAATGATTTGTTTCCCATGGAAATAATATCGCTTTTTAAAAACCTGGTCTTATGATTTAGAGGGAATAAGTTTGAATGGCCACTAAAATTGGCATCATCTGAAACCTTTTTTACAAACTTTCATTTCAGCAACTTTCAAGTATATTTCATCTTGACTTCTTTCATCTTCAAGCACAGGTGTGCATTAACAGAGGCATCAAGATTTTTAATTGATTTATAGAAAGCTTTTCGAAATACTGTTTTTTATGACTTTACCGTGTCCAAGAAGTCTTCGAGCTTTTTCCCCCCAAGTTATTTGCGCTTAAAAGGATGTCATACTTTGCCAAGAATGAAATTATTGAAACTGTTTTGCCAAAAGTCTTGTGTTCAGTTATTAAGGATAAATTAAAGGTTCACAGGATCCATTTTAAAAAAAAAGTTCACAGGATTTAGTAATTCTAAGTATCACCTTAAACTAGAATAGTGCAAATAATAATGTTTTGGTTTTTTGCTCTTTGTTGGGAAGAGTACCAGATGATAAAACTATTAAGGAAATCTTAAGACCATACATTGATCCTGAAAAATCTGATCCTGTAATTCGTCAAAGGTATTTTTTAAGATTTTATAATTCTCTAAAAGTATTTGAAGTATTGAGATGTGTGTATGTGCATATTTATTATGTAAAGTCATGCCTTTAGGTTATAATGTGTCAGTATACTTTACTTTCTCTTTCATTTCCTTGATATTTATCCAAGATCTTATCAAAGATTATGCTTTTGGGTAATAACTCCCGTTTACTTTGTTTCAGATACTATTTGAAACATGTAATAATAAAATTATTAATTTAATCTACATACTTTCTTAGTAAGTTACTATTTTTTTAAGTGAAATTTAAAGTGATTAAGGGACTTCCTATAGCACTACACAAGGAAACTGGGATTCACATTTAGGCCATATGGAGTCAGTATCTACTCTCTGAACCTTTAAATAACCTTCATGTGGAACCAGAAACTAAAGTAACTGTTAAAGACAGGAAATCCTATTTCAGCCAAGTCTTCATAAAATTAAGATACACACTACCTCCTGTCCAGAAATACAACATGAACAAAAACTGGTTAACATTACATAATGGTGGGCTGAAGAGATAGCACAGCGGGTAGAGCGTTTGCCTTGCACGCAGCCGACCCAGCATCCCATATGGTCCCCTGAGCACCGCCAGGAGTGATTTCTGAGTGCAGAGCCAGGAGTAACACCTGTACATGTCCAGGTATGACCCAAAAAGCAAAAAAAAATTACATAGTGGAAAGATTCTGTGTGAATTAGAACAGCAAACTGTCCTTAATTGACTATATTAGAAACAAGTTATTTAATTTTCAGACCTTAATTATTTTCTGTCAATTAAATGAAAATGATAATATCCATTAGGTACTGTTACAAAACTTTAAACAATCACATATAAAAAGTTTCTGGCAATACATAATAGGCAACTATCAAAATAAAAAACTATTGGTAGATACGAATTAGTGTTCTTGGTTAGGAACCCAGATAACTTTCTTCTTACTAAATGGTACATGCCAGGTATATGAATGTTTGATTTGGTTTTAGAGTAACCTGGCATTTAAAATTTTTTAGGTTAGGGAGGACCAGAGAAATAGTACAGTGAGTAGACCACTGGTCTGGCACATATTCAACTCGGGTTAGATCTCTAACACTCTATATGGTCCCTGAGCCCTGACAGAAGTGTCCCCAATATAAATAAAAAATTTTTAAAAATCTTAGATTGGATAGATTCTTTTTTTTTTTTTCCTTTTTGGGTCACACCCGGCAATGCACAGAGGTTACTCCTGGCTCTGCGCTCAGAAATTACCCCTAGCAGTGCTCAGGGGACCATATGGGATGCTGGGAATCGAACCCGGGTCAGCCGCGTGCAAGGCAAACACCCTACCCACTGTGCTATTGCTCCAGCCCCAGATTGGGTAGATTCTTAAATGTCAGATATGATTTTTATTAAATTTTATCTTACGCTTTTGGGTAACAATAATTCCAAAACCTGAACCAGAACCCCGTCACATAACAAAGAGATTTTGGGGTCAAATATAAAATTTGTTTCTTTCCTTATTATTGATAATTCATCTATTATTGCTACATTTGTCAGAAAGACCAAATACATGTCACTAAATAGATTGCATTTTAAATAAATAGCAAGACTAATTTACTGATACGGGTGATTTTTAAAGAATAACAGTGCAGTGCAGTTGAGTAGAGGAAAAATAATTTTTAAAATTCTGATCCTTGATTTAAAAAAATACTTTAATCCTCTTTAATGCTTAATTGAATTTTAAGTATTAACTGCTCATAAATGCTTAATCATCCATAGGTAATACCTTAAAATATAATAAAAGTCAATACTATTTTCATTTCAGGTTGAAAGCCTATATTCGCTCTCAGACAGCGGTTCAAATTTTAATGAAGGTTGAATATATGCAGCAAAATTTAGTAAGGTAAAATTGCTTTGTATTTCTTTAAATAGTTTATAATTCTTTAATTTAAAAACTTGATTATTTTGTGTAGCTAGTTTTATCTGGCTCTTTAGAAATCATTGGTTAAAATTTTCTTTTTGTTTGTTTTATTTTGTTGCTTTTTGGGTCACACCCAGCTATGCTCAGGGGTTACTCCTGGCTCTGCACTCAGGAATTACTCCTGGCAGTGCTTGGGGGACCATATGGGATGCCAGGGATCGAACCCAGGTCGACCATGTGCAAGGCCTTACTACTTTGGCTCTAAAAAATTCTAAGCTGTATCATGTACAACTAAGAATTATAAATTACATGTTTTAAGAAATACTCTATACAACAAGATTCTGTTTTTAAGATTTTATATTTGGAAGTATAAATATTTGTGTCAAACTGACTAATGGATGTTGTATCGGAATGTAATGTAAATTAAGTAATTAATGAGAGATGTTGATGGAAAAGGTGTGATTTTAAAGTGTATTCCGTTTAATCATGTCTAAACAAAACGAAACAATATATGTTGTTCTCTTGGTGTTTAACTCTGGAACCAGTCATTAAAGAGTTCTTTAGAGGGGCTACATTTGGGCTGGAGCGATAGCACAGCGGGTAGGTCGTTCGCCTTACACGCGGCCAACATGGCCGACCCGAGTTCGATTCCTCCGCCCCTCTTGGAGAGCCCGGCAAGCTACCGAGAGTATTCGATATGCCAGACACAGTAACAACAAAGTCTCCAATGGAGACGTTACTGGGCCCGCTCGAGCAAATCGACGATCAACGGGAGGGCCTTTACCTTTACCTTTACATTTGGGTCATACCTAACAGTGCTCCTGAGCTCTGCTTAAGAGTAACCTCTGCATGGGGCTGGAGCGATAGTGTAGTGGGTAGGGCCTTTGCCTTGCATGCGGCCTACCCAGGTTAGATCCCCAGCATCCCATATGTTCTCCTGAGTACCGCCAGGGGTGATTTCTGAGTGCAGAGTCAGGAGTAACCCCTGTGCATCACCAGATATAACCCAAAAAAAAGAAAGAAAAAAAGAGTAATCTCTGCAGTCCTCACTAGCCAAAAGTGGTGCCTCAGACTAAACTGAGGGTCAGAGGCGTGCAGGGCAAGGGTTTTACTTCCTGTATTCTCTTTGGCCCAAACAATTCTTCTCTGATTATGTGTTTTCCAAATTCAGTTCCCTTCTTAACATGCATCATATTTTTTATAGTTCATGTAAATGTTATTCGTGTTTCATATTATAATACTGAGTATATGACAGCTTCAGTTTCATGAGCTTGTTACAAGTAAGCTGATAAGCATTTTTGTGAAAGGTAAGATTACTTTATAATAATATAAATAATGTCATTTCACCTTCTTTTAGCCATAAAGTAGTGCATACTCTCCTAGCATTCTGACAACTTGGTTACATGTTAATTAACTCATTCTGACTCTTCTACTCCACTCTTAAAATTTTGTGACTTCTTGTCATAGACTACCAATGTGGAGGTAACATTGTAATTGGCTCTGGAAGAAAGGTAGACAAGAAACCATAAAAAGTCTGTCCATTTTGGTTTAAGAAATTTTTATTCTTAAATGCAGAACAGAGAATAAAATTGTTTCCTTTTTACATGCTCATCTAATTGTGAATAATTCAAGTTGTAACTCTCAGCTAATATTTTAACAGTTTGCTTAAATGACATTGTTTTAGAAAATAATAAATATTTGAGATATTAGGTTGCTTTTATAGAATTAAATTAAAAGATCTGTGGGACAAGCTTGGGCATCAGTTGACCAAACTTTGGGAGTAGGAAAGGGTACTTGAACCAAAAATTTTTGTAATAAAAGGTAAACACAGCATACTGAGTATTTTACAGTTTATAATATAGGGGCTAGAAAGATGGTATGACAGGTGACCCAGTTTCAGGTTTCAACTTCGCAGTGTTCCATTAACCTTTAAGATCTTTCATTTTCTCTTATTTTAGAACCTTCCTTCTCAGAGATCCTCAGGATCAGGATTCCATCTTGAGTTAGCTTTCCTAATCACTGAAAAGCATGGTAGATTTTTAAAGACAGTAGTAATATGAAAATACATTATGCGAGGAACTTTAAGGCAGTAATAATGTCAGACACTTGGATAGGTGCCTGTTATATAGGTAGCTTTTATGCTGAGAGTGGACCTAAGTTGAGGTAAAGCATATTCCTTATATGTCTCTGAATTTAAGACATAATTATTCGGGGCCAGAGCGATAGTACAGCAGTTAGGGCATTTGCCTTGCATGAGGCTGACCTGGGTTCAATCCCCAGCATCCCATATGGTCCCTCAAGCACCATTAAGAGTAATTCTTGAGCGCAGAGCCAGGAGTAATCCCTGAGCATTGTTGGGTGTGACCTCAAAAGGAAATATGTGCGCACGTGCGCGTGTGTGTGTAAAATCTAAAATCTACAAAGTTTATAGCCTTATGACTATTAGGTAAAGGTAAAGGCCCTCCCGTTGATCGTCGATTTGCTCGAGCGGGCCCAGTAACGTCTCCATTGGAGACTTTGTTGTTACTGTGTCTGGCATATCGAATACTCTCGGTAGCTTGCCGGGCTCTCCGAGAGGGGCGGAGGAATCGAACTCGGGTCGGCCATGTTGGCCGCTTGTAAGGCGAACGCCCTACCCGCTGTGCTATCGCTCCAGCCCCATGATATGACTATTATTTTCTAATAATAATATTAGATATGACTATTATTTTCTAATAATAATATTCTAATAATATTTTCTAATATGACTATTATTTTCTAATAATGAATAACAAGGTTAGATACTTTAGGAATGCATTTGGGATAGATTTTTTTTTCCACGATTTTAAGTGCTACAGTGTTCTCCAGATGATACATTATTAGACTAAGGTGATCGTTTATGTTTTATTATACATGTAGAGTTACATCATTTAAATACATCGAGATAATATCTAAGTAAGATAATTATAGGTTATAAAATGTTAAGTTTCTAATTTAAGGTAAGCCTGCTAAAAAGGGAGGATTTTATTACTTCTTAAATAGTACTTAAAAGGCAGAAACATGCAATTTCTTCGTAGCTGTTGGATTTTAAGTTATTTTAGCAAGGAGGAAGGTGGGCTGGAGTGATAGCACAGTTGTAGGGCATTTGCCTTGTGTGCAGCCACCCTGGCCGAGCTGGGTTCGATTCCTCTGCCCCTCTCAGAGAGCCCAGCAAGCTCCCCGGGACGTATTCAATATGCCAAACACATTAACAACAAAGTCTCAAAAATGGAGATGTTGCTGGACCCACTGGAGCAAATCGATGAACAACAGGAGGACAGTGACAGTGTGGACAGTGGCAAGGAAAATGGCGGGGCCGCTCCCAGAGATTTTTGGCCTAGCTGTTCAAGTCCAAAGGTTCAGTGCTTAAGCCCAGCAATGCGAGGGGCCACCTGGCTACACCTGGTGGTGCTGGTAATATAACTCGGGGCCTGCACAATTCAAGGCATTTGCTTCAGCAACCAAGGTGGACAAGATGCTCTTCTAGCTATCAGAGCAATATCATAATGGTAAGCCATCCCTATCCCTATACAACAACTAAATATTCCCAGTGGAGAAAAATTTATAAAGTTTTATTTAAAAATTTATTATTTGTAAAATTATTATGCTTTGTTAGCCAGACCGTACTTTTTTTTTCACATTAGTTTCTGTAAGCCTTTTCTTAGAAAGCAAAAGAGTGATTTTGAAGCAGAAAAACCTATACTGTAATGCCAGGTCCTACCTGTCAGATACCCGTTGTATCATGGCTTGCTTAACTGATAACTGACTGCTCTGACCTCTGATGCTGCTTATTTTAATTTTCCAAATCTGTTTTGCTGTAGACCTGTATGTTTACTGATAAAATCTTTGTTTCCTCTAGAGTTCAGTTACATTTTTATTTGCTTTATTTTCCTTACTATCCATGTTAAGACCTTTGATTTGCATAGAGCATAAATACATGCAGTTATGCTGTTGTGGGATGATACTTTCCAAATTTATTTTTAATAACTAAGCGCATTTAATCTTCTGTGAACATAAATAAATAGAGGGGCTTATGCAGGAATGAATAGGGTACAGTTCTGCTGTGGGGAAAGCAGACACGGAGCAAAGGTGACTGTGGTTCCTGGCATGGACCTGTGTCCTGAGAGGTGGAGGGAACTAGAGAGGCGTAGAGCAATGTTGAGTTTCAAGGAGTCATGACACCACAAGATTCCAGATCTGTCTGTTAAAAAAGATTCCAGATTAAATTTAGTAGAAACAAATTGTTTCACCATTACAAATATTAAGTTAAATACTCGCTTCTTAAAACTAATCGGAAATATGAGTTGTTCCAAGATAGTCTTTTTTTTTTTAATCCAGATACTTATATCTAAGTAAGTATTTTGTAAAATAAAGGTAATGTTTTTAATTTGATCCTAACTTTGGAATATTCCCAAGCCTCTGTTTTGCCATTGGAAATTGGGATCAAGACAGAAATGGTAGCATTGTGAAGATTCCTGTGAAATAATCATTATTCTGATCATTTTTTCTTTTACAGTACAAAAATTTTATTTATTTTTGTATAAGATTCTTAACTTGACATAGTCCCATTTGTTTATCTACACTTCTCTTTGCTTAGCCAGTAGCATTTGAATCATTAAAGGTGCCTTTTTTTTACTACTTGTATTTTTTAATAGCAGTTTACAAAGTTTTCTTTATATAAGTTTTTGACCTTTTCTGTTAAGTTGATTTCAGTTATTTGATTTTTTTTTGAGGTGCAGTTCATATTTCTTTTGACATAAATTGAAAGAATACGAAGTTTGAGAAAATGGCCTCCAAATTCTGTTTCCAGCTATCTTCAATTACAGTCCTTATTAGATCCTAGGCTTCCCCTATCAAGATCACATATAACACATCCATTCCTGATTAGTGTATGCTTAGTTTTACTTTAATGATTCTTTATACCCAGTCAGCAGTCAATAACTCTCGAAGCTCATTTTCTCTTA